TTTGTTTAAATTTAAGAAGTAAGTAAAGAAAACTGAAAAAAAAAAAAGAAAGTGGTAAACGGATTAATAGAAAACACAAAAATAAATATCAACACAAAAAAAAAAAAACAGACGATAAAAATGCACACCACAAAAATTAATACGATTAACCGTTGACAATTTGTTTCTGTGTTACATTGGATACATAAATTTAAGAAATGATAAGATAATAGGTAAGCAAAAAATTAAAAAAGGAAACAAATAACTGATAGTAATAAAATATTATATCAGTAATAAGCTAAGGAAAATCTGCTTTAAAATCCATTTATCAGCAACTGTTTATTAGCACTTCCAAAATAATGACTTTTTTGTTTTCCTTTTTAAAGTTGACACAAAAGCTGTCGGTAAATTTGAGAAATGTTAATGTCGATCAATTTTAAGTTGAATAAATAAACATACAAAACAAAAAAAAAGAACAGAAAATATTTAGTAGTCAAAATTAAGTTTCATTCACTATCTTTTCATTAACTTCGCATTAGAATCAATGTTTTCTGTAACTGTAATGTTTTCTGTTTTCTGTAATAAACCTTTCGCCTCTTCTTTTATTTTTTTTTTTTCCATTTTTATTTATTTATTTCTCATCATATCAATCCAATAAATATCATATGTTCCGTTTGGATAAAAAACATGCAAAATTATATTTAACAGAAAAATATTGATAAGATAACCAAAAATAGTACTTTTCCACAGAAATCAATGTGTCCTCTGTGTATACAGAAAAAGAACAGAAGGACAACGCAAACAAAGCGGTATGTACAAAAATTTGAAGTCAAAGAAACAAAAAAAAAAAAATCAACAGAGCAAAATTTAGCGACAACTTTTGTTCTGCGATCATTTAAACGAACAGATGGACGATACAAATAATAATAAATAAACAAATTGAAAGAAAAAAAAAATAACTGGCTAGGAAAGTATGAAAACTCACTATCTGTTAGCACTCGATCTAGCTAAATTTTTTTTGATAGGCAAAAAGAAAAGAAAAAGAGTTTAGTTAAAATAAGGATAAAAATTTCCTGAATAACTTCGAAGAGAAAAAGTTTCTTTTTTTTTTTTTTGAAAATTCTTTTCATTTGGGGATCAATTTTTTAGTTTGATCATAGAATCGGAAAAAAAAGATGTTCCGCTTTTAACAACAGACCGTCTTCAGCTATGATCATGCCGAGCGGCAAATGAGAAGAAGAAGAA